CTTGACCCCACGACCCGCCTCTTTTCCCCTCTCCTTTCCCCTCCTCTCCGCCGTTTTTCCCACCGAGTGCGTGAAGGTGCCTGAGAGTGCTGAGTGATGGTGTGCGTGTGCTAGTGTATGTGGGTTCGGAGGCGAGGAGGCCAAGGGCTTGTGCGTGCGCAGGGCTGGAGCGCGCGCGTGAGACGCCGTGCCCCGTGCTGGGCGAGTACACGGGCGTGATCCCCGACGCGCAGGGCCTGTGCGCGCGCCTGGCGTCCGACTGCGCCTCGCCCGAGGCCATGTTCTACGCCGTCTCCGAGTGCACGCAGGCCGAGGTCTACGAAGGTAGGTGAAACCCTGTGGCACCGCCCACGCCCCCGTTCCTAGGGACGGCGATTGCTATATCGCATCTCCAATAGAAAAGTGACATAAGTGCCAAATCGTCATTTTTCTGCTAAAATCTGATAAGAGGTACAGCTACTATTCTGAAGTTGATTTTGAGTTAGTTCAATTACTGTTTGCTAGAAGGTGAATGTTTGGTACAATCTATAATGAGTATCACTTGTGTCACTTTTCTACTGGAGGTGGGATATGTTAGAAGCTTAAAACCGGTATGCAGTTTTCGTACGGTATTAGATACGTAAGCGGTCACCCTACGCACCCTTTCCCAAAAATGTGTCTTTGATCATTCCCCGAGATTGCAGATTGAAATATGTGGATCAGGCGAGTCGTTGAGCACTGATTGTTCTAATTTTTTATTATAATTTTTGAACTTGGAATAATATTTTTAATATTTTTGAGTCACTAATAAATTAAATTAAACCATGCAAATTTTTCGCTATTTAGCTATTTGTTGAAATAAAATTCGTATTTCATTATATCGATATTCTCATTCAATAAAAACTACCGGTATTTGTGAAAAAATATCATTGTCATCCCTTTTCCTGCCCCTTACCGCATTGTGAATTTTGCACTCGCAGCGGAAGATTTTCACAACACGGTTTTCAGGAGAGCGGTTTTTCAGGAGATGCATACAACGATTTCAAGCTTTTATTTCCGACTGCGTCAATGACTATTTTACATAGGCGTCCATAGAAAAGAAGGGACTTAGTGCCATAGATTAACGGGGGACCCTTATTTTAAATAAAAGTGCACCCCTCTCCCCCACAAGGCCTTTATAAACAGAATGTATCTCCCCATGCGACAGAAATAAATTATTGTGGTTAATTTGGATTAGAAGTAAATAAAATTTTTTTACATATTTTGAATGGAAAAAATTGAAACCACAATGTTGTCCGACCCCGAGGCAAGTTGCCTCAGCCGCCCTCTGCCCGCCACCTTTCTGGGCAGCTTCGCTATTTTTTTTATTTGTGGAAGATTAATATGTGCAATTTGACTTGCCACTTTCCACAACACGAAATTAGAATATCTCATTTTCACATATCGAAAAACGTGGAGGGGGTAGGTGTTGTGCTCGTCCGCTCTGAGTGTGATATTTCCTGAAAATTCAACAACCATGACATAGTAAATATATCATTGTGTACCGTGGAATTTGTCAGATCTGTTTTATGGGTTTTGGATGTAAGGGAACTCTATCTTTGTGTATATTTATCCTCTAATTGTTTCCTTGGAGAAGAAAAACCTTGTAAAGTGCAGTTGGTGCAGGCCATATAACGGCGCTACGCTCTGCGCCATGTGTATATATCTGTATATAGTGCACAGCTGTACATAGCCTCCGTTTCATTCCGTCGTCCGTCCTCGTTCTTCCTGATCCCCTTCCCACCCCGGCGACCGGTCGTTCCGTCCTCGCCGCCCTCGCCGCCCTCGCCGCCCTCGCCGCGTCGCCGGGTGCTGCGTGAGCGAGCCGCAGAACCTGGAGACGCACGTGCAGGGGTGAGCGGCTAACGGCTGGCCTTCTGCGGCCAGAAGGCGAGGAGCGTGCGATTGCGAGCTCGGAAGACGCAACGCTGGCCCACGCGGCGTCCCACCCGCGCAGCGATATGCGGCACCAACGCCCGCGCTCCTTAGGGACGGTCAGCTCCGAGATCCACGGGCAAGCGCCATGCGCTATTCCACCAAGTTCCAGAATGCGAACTGAGTAACGTTTACATTACTGAGTTACATTGAATGTGCATTTTTAATATCCCTCAGAAAAGGTTCCTCCTTCCGTTGCCTGGGTTTAATGGTTAAAGCGATTTTCCATTAACCGACCAAATGCGAGATCCAATCATCTTCTATGGCACCCATTCCAGCAAGCCCAAGGCATCGCCCGCAATCCCCCAGACACCTCAACGATGCCTTCCCGATACCCCCACGCCCCCTCCAGCGACACCTCTCCAAAGATCTGCCCTAGCCACCCTCTCAGCAAATCTGTGGTGACCCACAAGCGACGCCCCAACGACACTCCTCGAAGTCGCCTCCAGCCATCAGCTCAGCAACGATTTCTCTTTCAACTACCCCGAACGCCAACTCTCTCACCAGCGATCCTCAACTACCTTCTCCAGCAGATCTCAGTAACCTTTTACCGACCCGTAAGCTACCTCAACGACTCCGCCCTAGCCAATCCGCGCTCTCCCTGAGCCCACATTTAGCTTTATTCAACACGAGGAAAACGCCACTTACATAACTTCCCCCAGTGAGTTAATTCTACATAAGAGCAAATGAGATGCATTCAGCCAAAATAGTCGACTAGCGCAAGAAGCACGGCAACATCGCCGAGGAGAGCCCAC